TGGAATCTGGAGGATGCTGACCACAAGTTGCTGTTTTAGACTGACACCCCTACTCACCATGGGGCTAGACTTACAGTGTCAGCAGTTCTGGAAGCGGGGCTCAGCCTACCTATGGCATGTGTGTGAGACCCTGGATGCCTCCTGCAGGTGTGACTGTTTTGCACTTGCTGTGCAACTTGGCAGAGCCTGGGCATCCAAGGTGGTGGACTGTCTTCTCAGCCCACTCCAAGCCTCTCATCTTCGTTCAGAGTTCTCCAGTAACCTAGGCAACAGCACCACCTCGGTCCATCCTGAGCCCCTGTGTACTCAGCTCTGTGTAGTCCTTAAGAAAGTGCCAAAGGAGAGGGCGACCTAGGCCTTGCCTCCCTGGGCCAGCTGGGAAAGCATAACCCCTTTACAGGGGTCAGCAAGAGAGCAATCCTGGCCCAGCCTAAGCTAGGAGAAGTGAGCAGCTGAACCCTCAGTGGACTGGAGTGTCATGGAAGCACCTGGAGGAACTAGGGCTGAAGCTGGGCCTTAAAGAGGAACAGGAGTTAGCTTGACCTTCTGGGGCTGAAAGCAGGGTGGGAGGGCTGCGTGCTGGGAGCTCTCCAAGGTCCCCCACCTGCATGTGTGGTGGGGAGCGATGTCATTCTGCTGTCCGTGGTGCTGAAAGTTCTGGTCGTGCACAGTGACCTCATTCCTTCAGTAACTATTGCTTCTGGTCCTTCCCACCCCTCTGCCAGCACCTTCCTGCCCCTACTCTTGTCATTTTATTTCCAGATATCCAGTGACCACATTGTTGCCCCACAGTCCCACTCACTCACCGTGCCCAACTTGTCTCTTGCACTCTTTCCCCCATAACTACCACCAGAAATGGTCCCTCATAGTCCCTGTCTTCCATACCTTGCCACTTAAACTATGAGAGATAGAAGTGCCAACCTAGGGAGCACTTGAAAGTGATGTAAGGACATTTGGAGTTGTCACAATGCCTCAAGTGTACTACTGGAATTTAGCAAATTGAGAAATCTCATACAACAAATACTTGGCCCACCTCAGATGGAGTAGCATCATTGAGAAACAATTTACATTACTTTTTATGAGAGAGGAAACTCAGGCCAAAAGAGAAGGGGCTTAGCCAAGGTCACTTAGCCAGCCAGATACAAAACTACAAATAGAATATGGGCCACGATCTTCTCCCACCCAGGCTTTTGGATCACTCAGGTGACTGCCTGAACCAGGAACTCTTATCAAAGTGTCAGCATCTGTAAGGGGGGAGCCCACTGTAATGGGGGCTTTTGACAGGCTGGGGCCACTCTGGAGGCAGAGTCCTGGAAAACTGCTAGGGATAGAGTCCAGGCTTCCCAGGCCACAGAGCCCTGGAAGAGAAGACCCTGCCTGTACCATCCAGACCCTAATGCCCATGGCAGGCCACATCACACACCATCAGCATCGATCTTCAACAGGGGTACCTGTGTTGCCGTGGTAACAGGTACCTACCTCACTGCATGCATCCCTGAGATCCTGGCCTAGCCACCTGGCCTCAGACTTTCCTTGCCCATCTTCCCATGGTTCCTGGGGAACTCTTCCTGTATTACCCTCTCCTGTCCAAAGCTGTGTCTGCGGGCTCAGTGTCCTCATTAGCCAGTTCCCTTGAAGAGCTGGGAACATCTGTCCTTCAGTCCCCAGGCACCCAGTGTCTGTAGCCAGAACCACACCCCCAGGCATGGCTGGGCCCCCAGAGGGGTGACCCCTCCCACCACTACATCACACATCTCAGACCCTGCTTTCCAAGGTTTGGACAGATCTGAGTCGAATTGATTCAGCCTACCTGTACTCAATGGCTCACTTCTGAGGGAGGATCCAGTGACCTCAATATGATCTCTCCCTGTTTGTCTGTCCCCAAGCAGCTCAAGTTCAGTAGCAAAGAAAAGAGGGCTCAAGTCCAAAGAGATGAAGTCCATAGTGAATTATGGCAAATGCTCTAAAAGAGATTTTTGTTTTTCAAACCATGGATTGTAGCACAATAGTGGATTGTGAAGTCAATTTAGTGGGTCATAACAAGCACTTGTATATAATAAATAGGATTCATTAGAATATAATAGAAAGAAAAATATTATAGCTGCGGTCAAAACAAATTTCAGTTTGTGAAACTGGATTCAGTAAAGTGGTGCGTGTGTACTGGGTTGTGATAAGAAATGCATGTGTTGCTGTGGTTCAAGGGCAATAGAGTGTGAAAGCCTGTGCTCAAGAGATGGGAAGACATAGAGAAGGTGTTTAGAGGTAAAAAATAAGAGATTGCTTAATAGCTCGGGTGTTGGGGAAGCCTCCAGGAGGAAGTGGCATATGAGCTGGGGTTTAAAAGATAGGTAGGAGTTTGTCAGTGAGCAGTGGGTGAGAGTGAGGAGGGTGTTCCAAGGGGTGTTTCAGCATAGAGCCAGGGATGCAGCAGGCCTGCTAGTGCAGAAGTCACCTGCCGTTAGAGTGATGGAGGTGAGTGGGGGAAGTTAGGCTGGGGCCCGAGTGTTGAGGGCCTTGAATATCACACCAGGAAAGTTGGACTTTATTCCCAAGAGCAATAAAAAGCCCCTGATGGCTTTTAAGCAGGAATCAAAGTGATCACTCTGGCAGTCGGAGTAAAGGATAGAGAGAGTCGAGGGGACAAGAGAAGAGGCAGGGAGGCAAGATAGTAGGCTGTTGTGCCAGTCCAGGCAAGACAACCAGAGAGAGCGTGGAGGGATGGGCAGGAAGGAGGTGGACTCTGGAAAAAGAAAGAGGAGACAGAATCCACAGAACTTGGTACCCAGGGGCACTGATGTAAGGGCCCAGAAAGATCTCAGATTTGCAGCCTCTCTGTCCTGGGTCCCTCCCATTCACAAACCCACCACAAAATATCATACTTGGGAAATGAATATTCTGAGCCCCTGTCCTCGGGGAGCCACACGCTGATCAGAGAAAGCGGACTCACACACCCGAACAACTCAGGCCAGGTCCTGAGCAAGGGCTGGAGTGTGGGGCTCAGGCTGTCAGGACTCCAGGGTGGGGAGTGGGGGTCTCAGGAGAAAAATTGGTGAGATGGGAGTAATCTGGGAACCCCTCCCAGAGGAAGGGGCTTAGTACTGAACTTCAAGAGAGCTAGATAACGTCTACAAACACATCCCCAGAAGATCAATTTTTCTGCCGTTTGAACCACAGCTGGGATCAGGATCTGTTCACTTCCCACAGGCCTGTGGAGAGGGACTCCAAACCCCCATCAGAAAGGGATTGTTCACTTTACAGAAGGACCTGATACTCCCTAGATACCTTGATGTGGGGTCTTCTGGCTTCACCCTACACTCTGTCGTTTAGTTCAGTAACGTCACTGACCCTATGCATCAAATTGTCTTAATACACAACTTTTCCACAGTAAAACAACTCTGAGGAGGAAGAAAACCCAAGCGGGGAATTGGGCGCCCTGGTCAAAAGCAAAGAGCCTGTGTCCTCACGTTGGGGTCAGAATCCGTGTCAGACTGTCACTGGCCTGGTCGTCACACCTTGGCCAGGGCCCTGCCAGAGGCTGGCCACATGTTGACAGGCCCAAGGAAGCAGGAACAGGCGCGTAACATCCCTGGATTTGAAAAATCTGTGAGCTCAGAGCACCAAATTAAAAAACAATTAAGCTAATAGACTCTCCCCCTTTGTTTCTGCTCTTCAGCAAGTGCTTCTTAATAATTCAATTGCTTTTAACTCACTGTCGGTTCAACGGAAGTGGGTTTTTTAAGTAACTTAATTATTTCACAACTCACTGCTTCCCAAAACCATCTAAGCTTCCCCCTCCAGCTCTGTGAGCTATTTATTTTTTTGGCTTTATACTGTATATCTAACATAGGCCCCAAAGAAAACTCCACAAACAGCTGCCCATTAGCCAGAGAGCAGAACCCTGGTACAAATCACCCCCAATGATGGATGGTTTAGAATTTGCAGTCCAGTGGGAGAGGTAAGACACAAACTGATGGTGCTAGGCAGAGAAGAGGCTGGTGAAGGGCTCTCAGGTAGGGGGGGTTCCTCCTGGCTGGAGGTTGAGGGTGGGCTACCTGGAGGGGGCGGCTTAGGAGCTAGACCTTGATGTCAAGCTAGGGCTTAAAGACAGGTAAATAGGAGCATCCTTGACCTTTGTACATTCCCCTTCAATAGAACCTGCACTTTTGTGCATCTGACACGGGTGCTCTGAAATATCTTTTCACACTTCCCATTCCAACTTTAATACAGAGGCTGGTTCTCAAACATTTAGAGACGTCACATGGGGGTCTCTCAGGCAGCCGTAGCTCAGGGTCAGCAGCACGGTCCTGTTTCCCCAAATTTCTCTCATTGCTGTGTTGCCACTGCTCCATCGCCTAGGGATTAAGAACATAAAACCTGAAGCCACACCTTCTGGGTTTGAACTCTCTTCTCATCTTTGCGTCTTTGGTGAGCAGCTTAATCTCTTTGTGCCTCAGTTTCCTCCTCTGTAAAATGGGTTGATGTTAGTACCTACTTCCTGAGGTTGCTGTGAGGACTGAATGGACAAGCATAGATAATGCAGTTTAGAAAAGGGTCTGGTATACGGGAAACCCCTGCTATGTAAATGGGAGCTATTATTAAAATGGAAGTGCTGCTGCTGGTGGGGAAAAGGATGGACCTCATAAGCATAAAGTGGTTGAGATAAGGATGGAGGTTGTTTGGTCTGCTGAGAGCAGTGAAGCTTCAGAACCCAGGGCTCACAATTGGGTTTGGTTTCAAACAAACATTAAAGAAAGTGTACAAAATGCTAGTCAAAGATTGTATCAAAAATGGATTTTATCATGCTTTTTAGTTACCATGAGTGGTAAGCCTTTTGTGCAATTTTCACATGACTTTCACATGAACTTTCACATGAACTTTCAGACATGCGTTGAGTTTCCTGGCCTAGAGAGGCTGAGGAGCATGGACCTTAACCTGTGGGCACCTGGGAGCCAGGGGGTGTTCTTGAGGAGGGGAGTGACCTGCCTTTTGGTCTTTTGTAGGGAATGCCTACCGAGAGTGCTTGGACAATGGGACATGGGCTTCACGGATCAACTACTCACAGTGTGAGCCCATTTTGGATGATAAGGTGAGTGGCCCCCACCTGCTCTGACCTCGATCCTTATACAGGTATTAGGACTTACGTTGAGCAGAACCAGTCTTTGTGCAACCAAACCACTCCTTTCTGTATCTCTTGCCCTTGCCCCCATGTCCTGCCCTGTGCTCAGTGACACTGTGCTGGGTAGAGGAGGGGGACATGGAGCCTCACCCTCAGGAGAGCTCCGGCTGGTGGAGGACACAACCAAGGTGGCATGTGCCACAAGAAGAGAATATCTTATAACCAGAGCCCCAACATCTAACAGTCTGGGTGAGCTCCTTCCTCCTCCGGGCCTCAGTTTCCTCATCTGGCATTCTGAATCTATGACTCCACATGGAAACAAGGGCCACCCCCAGAAGGGCAGTCCCACGGGGAACTGGGTCCCACTGAGACCTCACCAGCCCCCCTGGCTCTAACTGGATTCCGTGCTGCCTGTGGTGCTGGCCGCCTCACCTTTGAAGCTGCACCTCATTCCTGACCCAGAATGATACGTGCCACTTCACCCTTCCTCATTCACCCGCGACAGCCCCCAGTGGGTCCGGAGCTTTTCCCCAAAAAACGTCCAAGTTCAGAGGAAAAACGTTTGTCTACTCTGAGAAAGTGATTCTACAAAATGTGAGCATAAGGGGGTCTTGCAGTGAGGGCCACGGGAGTGGCAAGCGGGCCGGTCCCCTCCAGCCCTCTGTCCTCACCTCCCCATCTTTCTGAGCACTGGCCAACCAAAGTGGGGGTGGGGTGCAGTGAGGGATAGTCGGCCCTGGCAGGAAGGAGTACTTTATCACTGCCTCTGTTTAGAATTGCTAGCACATGGTGATGATAAAAAGTAGGCTGGCTTGTAGTTGATTTTAATGCTGTTCTTACATTCTCCCCCTCATTGCTGCACCCAGGGCAGGCTGATCCCAAGGCACCCCCCAGACCTCTCATAGGTCCCTGCTTCTGAGCAAAGGAGGGCAGGTTGGCTCCATTGCACAGATGTCAAAACTGAGGCCCAGAGATATAGATCGACTCACCTGCAGTCACTCAGTGAGCTAGGGTCTGAGCTGAGACTAAACACAGGGGTGGCAACTCCAGAATTAAAAAGAAAAGAAAATATACACACCCACACCTCTGGCACATCTCAGGATAGGCAGTGTACAAAGCTGCCCGGAGTTGCATGTTGGGAGGCCGGAGCGTAGCCATTTATGTCAAGAGCCACCCAGGGCCGATAGGAGTGAGCTCCCTGAGCCAGGCGTGGCGATGACATGCAGAGCCACTTCTGCCCCAGGTCAGGACACGACATGGCCACCGCTAGAGAGCCCAGCCCCACCCTCCTCATGCCCCATGCCTCCGTCTGCCCTGTGTCTGTCTGTCTGTCCAGCAGAGGAAGTATGACCTGCACTACCGTGTCGCCCTTGTCGTCAACTACCTGGGCCACTGCGTTTCCGTGGCAGCCCTCGTGGCTGCCTTCCTGCTTTTCCTGGCCCTGCGGTGAGTCCACATCCCACCCCCTGCTTTCTCCCCGCCCCTCCTCCCATAGCACCCCCTTCACCTCTCCTAGACTTGTCACCTCCCTCCAGGGGCCTGGGGCCAGTGGACAAACGGGGTCTAGGGGAGGTGCCAGGGCACTGACTGCTGGCAGACATGCAGGATACAAAAGGGGAGCTGGCTCTGAGAGGGCCACTACGAGTGGGAATTTGGCTCCTGGTGCAGCCCTGCCTTCACCCCAGGCTGAGCCTTCCTGTCCCAGCTGACCCCTGACCCCAGCTGGCCCCTCATCCCAACCCAACTGAGCTCTGACCCCAGGTGGAGCCTGTCCCAGCTGAGCCCTGACCCTGGCTGACCTGGGCCTCCCACAGGAGCATCCGTTGCCTGCGGAACGTGATCCACTGGAACCTCATCACCACCTTTATCCTGAGAAATGTCATGTGGTTCCTGCTGCAGCTCATCGACCACGAAGTGCACGAGAGCAACAAGGTCGCTGGGCGGAGGCTTGGGGCTGGGCTGGGGGGCTCCAGGGTCTGTGGGCACCCGCCTTTCTTGCCCAGCCCTCAGGTGCAGACCCAGAGCTGCGCTCACCACCACCCCAGTCATTGCCCCTCCAGAGCTTGGGCCAGGGGTGCGTCGAGGACTGCCAGGCCGGGGTCTTGGGAGCAGCACAAACCTGACGCCAGACTTTGGTTTATCCCATTCCACTCCCTGTCTCAGGAATTCAGAACCTCCCAAAGCCCATTAGAGAAAAGCAGGCTGGAATTAACCTCTGCTGAGCTTTATCTCACTTAATTCCGGTGACAGACCTGTTGGAATTATTTTCCCCATTATACAGACATGGAAACTGAGGCTGAAAGGTCAGGAGACACTGTAATGATGCCTCTATATCTGGGGCCAGCAGGATCTTGAGCAGGCCATCCCACGTGTTAGCTGTCCACTCCAGATTTGTGTCAACTGCTGTTGTCCTGTGTCCAAATCATTGTAAAACTGGAGACTGGAATGGGGCCAAGCAGAGTCCTTTGGCACACCATTAGAGACTTCTCAATACATTTTCTTTGGATGGCTGGACCTGAGCAGACACCCAGCCTGGTGTGACCCCTGACTTGGCCCCACACTGAGCCCTGCCCCAGCACCAACTGAGGTAAACCCAATTTGGGGTGCCTGCAGCCCAATATTTGCTTGTACTGATAAGATGTCACTTAACCTGGAGAAAAGCTGGGGGGGGGGGTGGGATCTTTGGCTTCCCACCTCAGCAGGACTTTCTCAGGACAGAGGAGACAGATAGCCATGTGGGGTCCAAGATCAGGCCTGGGACCATGGGGGAAAGCCACGGAGGCAGCGGTCAGCTCAGCACGGGAGCGTGTCTGACAGCCAGGGCTGTCACAGCTGGACAGAGAGAGGTTGGGGCGTCCATGGAGCAGAGAGCTCCCCATCACAGGGCACCACTCCCTACACCCCAGCCTTAGCTCTGAGGATTCCTAGGGGCAAACTCCTGGGGAAAACGGCCAGGTAGGGTCTGTTGAGAAGAGCTCTGGCCTGGAGGCCAAAGACCTGGCCGTGGCTCACTGTGGCCCTGGGCAGCTTTTCCTCTGCCCGCACCCTTGGCTCCCCTCTGCAAGGTACTTGGGAGGGTAGCCTTGCTCAGAGGGGCAGGGACCAGTTCCCTTCTGCTGGGGAGGCAGATGGCAACAACACTCATTTCTTGGTGCCTGCCTTTGCCCTCCTTCATCTCCTCTAACCACCCGATAAGACGGCATCATTATTTTCTCCATGTCACAGTGAGGTTCAGAGAGGTACAGCCACTTTCCAGAGGCCTTGGAGCTGGCGATTCTCCCTCTGGAGCCAGCGGTGATCATACTAAACCCAGAATCTCCCCAAACCAGAGACTGTGGAGAATCGCCGCCACGGCTGCAGTTCACTCACATCGGCCCTGTACAATTATTCATAGAACAATTTTCTTTTAATCGACTCACTACTTTTTTCTATGTGAAATTACATATTCCATCCCTGAATGGAAAGCAGTCTGATTTGCTGTGGATTGAAGGTGACCCTCAAAAAAAATAAGTGAAAACACAACGGCGTTGTTCAATTCTAGCCGCTTCTGCAGAAAGCTCAGAGCCAGACTCCTTTCTTTATTAAAAAGGGAGATTAGGAAGCTCTGGGGAGATGCTAAAGACACATTAGCACCCGCAGAGACTGGCGCCTTAACCTAATCTAGAACAGTGAGAGAGAAATGACGAGGGATGAATTCCCAGAATGAGATTGGGGGGTGTTTAAGGCCATGTCCATGACCTAAAATGACCTCCCCTCCGTCAGCACCCAAGCTGCACCCTTGGGCCCTGGCCCCAGGCAGCCCCTGACCGCCGCCCGCCCCGTGCAGGTCTGGTGCCGCTGCATCACCACCATCTTCAACTACTTCGTGGTGACCAACTTCTTCTGGATGTTCGTGGAGGGCTGCTACCTGCACACGGCCATCGTCATGACCTACTCCACCGAGCGGCTGCGGAAGTGGCTCTTCCTCTTTATTGGATGGTGTGAGGGTCCTGGGGGGCCGGCAGGGCCTAGTGGGGAGGGGGTACTGCTGACAAGGTCACTTCCCTTCACCTTGGGTCCAAGGACGGGAGCGCAGCCCTGCCCGCCATCCCCAGGACAGTGTGAGGGTGCAGCCGCTCCCCTCCATGCTGGCAAGGAAGAAGCAAATGGTCCTCCAAAGAAATTCCTCAGAGAGCCCTCCTCTCCTTGCCTGCAACGGCCAACCCAAAGACCTTTGTCTCTGGCTTCGAAAGAGAAGCTGGCCAGCTCCACTTCTCTATCAAAGAATCTCAGTGAATCACCTGGTCCCCTCCTCTCTGACCAGCTTAGAGGTGATGGCTGAGAGTCGGGGAGGGATGGGGGTGACGTCTAAGGACAAGGCCCCCAGGTCGTGGATAGCCCACAGTGGGACAATTGGAAACATGATCCCAGGCCCTTGTGGTCCTCCTACCTGTATTCTACAAGAGGGGCCCTGTCCATCTGTCTGTCCCCTGCAGCCCGTGTCTGTCCTTCTTTCAGGCATCCCCTGCCCCATCATCATCGCCTGGGCCGTTGGCAAACTCTACTATGAGAACGAACAGTAAGTGGAGCAGGCCAGCCACGGGGGTCAGAGGGATGTTAGGACAGGTCAGCCATGGGCTGCAGCCAAGCCATAGGGCAGGAACTGCAGCCACGCCAGGACAGATTCACTTTCCTGCTGTGCTTAAATTGAAAAAGTATCCCTGGCACCCTGGACAGGTGTCAAGTCAACTTTGTTCATTGAATTGAGTTAGGAATCATGGTTCCTTGAAGGGCCCCAATGCGTGACCCCGTTGGCCTTTGGTAAGGCTTCCTCCTCAGAGTGGAATGGGGCAGGTCCGCCCCGGGGGCCAGGGGCTGGAGGCTTCCACAGACGCCCGGGCTGGGGCAGTGGACACTTGTTTCATTCTGGAATCTCAGTCTCTGGTGGGGTACAGTGTCCTATCCTGGGACCCTCCTTGTACCAGAGACTTTGATACACTGAGCCACGGCCCAGATGATGGCAACTCTGGCCATGGACCAGCCAAGGAGCACCTGGGAAGTCAGGTGCCACCAGCTGAGGCGAGAGGGGACGTGAGAACATAGGTGTCTGTATACAAATCTGAGGCTGAAGAGAGCTGGTGGGATTTGGGAGCAGGGGCAGGAAGGGGATGGGTTCCAGGAGCTCACCATTAGGAAGAGATCCTAATGATAAAAGCTGCCCAAGAATAAGAGGGCTGCCTTGGGAGTGGTAAGCTTCCCGTCAAAGGGGGTGTTCAAGCAAAGACCAGAAACCTCAATGCTGGGAGACAGTAGGGGAGATTTCCTGTTTGAGGCAATGTGCACCAGATGATCTCTGAGGTTGTGGAGGACACAGTCAATTTCCCAAAGTCCGTGTGGCCCTTCCCGAGGTCCAGTAGGAGTTGCTGGCATAGCCAGACCAGGTGCTGGCCCAGCATTTCCCTGGACCCTGAAGCATCTCCACCCACCGTTCTCCTCGGAGGATAAGGAAGCCTCTGGTAGCAGCAGGCCCCCTTCACTGGGTGAATGAGGCTCAGCTTGGAGAAAGGCCAGGCTTTAGGGCAGGATAAGGCTCCCCATCTGCTGCTTTCAGTGGCTGAGTGCCTGTCACATGAAGCAATGAGTTCTGAGCAATACAGAAACAGGTGGCACAGGGTGATTTGGCCCTGGGCCAGCAACGGGGAGCCCAGCTCTCCCTTCACTTGTGAGCCTCCTGCATGCCCAGCCCTGGGCCCAGCAGTCTGGGATGGGGTGAGTGAGTAAGAAGGAGGAGGAGGAGCCCCAGGGCCTGCCCTCCATCCAGCTGGGGAGACCAGACCCTCCATATAAGGCAACATGCAGCCCAGGGGTAAGCAGGATGGTCAGTGGGGCTGGGGCTGTGCACCCAGGCTTTTTGGGAAGGTGCAGCCCTGGAGATGGGGTCTCAGGAAGGGTGAAGCTGGAGGACCCTGGGCCCAAGTCTGCAGTGGTCGTCAGGCTCCAGCTCAGCGGGTCACTTACAGCCTCTCCATCTTTGCAGGTGCTGGTTTGGCAAGGAGCCCGGTGATCTGGTGGATTACATCTATCAGGGCCCCATCATCCTTGTGCTCCTGGTAGGTCCTAACTGGGGACTAGGATGGGGATGGGCACCAGAGGATGAGCAGAGATGCTGGCGAGGGATGTGGCCTGGAGTGGCCCCCTATGCACACTCTGTACATATCACCCCGCTGCCCGGCACCACCTTCCTGGCTCTCTCTCCCCCACACTCCATGCCCCGGTATGGCCCCCTCCCCTCTCTGGCCCTCGGGATCTTTCTCTGGGCAGAGAATGGGTCCAACTGGCAGATTTCTAGTGCCTCCCACATCTGAGTTCCCTTGCCAGGTACGATGCCGAGATACCCAGGGGAGGGGGCCGCTGATGGCAAGCGAAGGGTATGCAGGCCTCTGTTCAGCCCAGACCTGCATCCCCCTCTACTGGCAGGGACCCCGTCTGGGGCCCAGCCCACCGCCCCCAGCATGGAATAGTGGTACCAGAATGAAGCGTAATGAGCAATTGTTCTTGTCCAGCTCCCCGCCCTTTGCCAAATGTATTCGCATCTAAGGTATAATTGCCGCCACGTCTTTAATCCACAACGAGCTTTAATTAAGGTAGAGTTTAACTAGAGGCTGCATTCTGCCAAAATGAATCCATTATATAGCATACATTTAAAAAAAGAGACATACAAAAAGCCCCATAAGAAATTGGCATTTACGTAAGACTTATTTCAGGCTCGGTAATTTCAGGCTTTTTTATGTACTAGCTTCCTTAAAGGGCCACCCACCCCTTGTGGGGAGCACTCCATCCTCCTGTTGCACACAGCTGCTGCTTAATGGGGCTTTCTTTGGTTGACCTTGGAGACAATTACTCTTTATCTCTTTCGTTTCCTGACTCTCCTTCTTTTCGTGACTTCTTCCAGGGTTCATTTGACCCCCATCTTTGGAGTGTCCTTGATGACTAGGAAGGTTTTTACCCACTGCCTGAAATTCCACCATCAGGGCTCCATTCATTCCAGAGGCAGAAGCCGGTCCTTGTCACCAGTCAGTGGGGGAAGGATTGTCCTTGGAGTCCCAGCTGCAATGAGTCACTCACCCCCTAGCATGAAGGGAAACTCCGTGAGACCCATCTCCTCCTTGCCAGCTGCTGAGAGCCCATCCTGGAGGGGTAGGGCTTTAGATGAGCCTGGGACCCAGCCAAGGAAGAGGGCCTGGCCCAGAGGGGGAACCACCCATAGCGGGTAGCAAGCCCGGCTGCAAAGGATGGATGGCAGTGAGGAAATGAACAGAAAAAGTGAGGCGTGGAAGGCTCAGTATCGAGACCCAACTCCCAGCCCCCTCTCCCTGCCCCCTTCTCTGGTTCCACCCTCCCCCCTTGGCTCAGGAGCACTTTGATTGTCTTTCCCTTTGGCCCAGCCCACACCTGGCTATTTGCACTGACAGAGCTTCCAGGTTCCAAGCTGAGCCCTTCCAGAAGCTCTGTCTTCAGTACTTCCAATCCTCACATCCTTGATACCTGGAAGTAGGGATTATGCTCCTCATTTTACAGAGGAAGAAACCGAGAGAGACGAAATGGCCTGCCCAAGGCCACCATTAATAGCTAACGGAGCTGACACTCAGGGGCGGTCACCCACCACGTGCCTGCCGTCCTCTAGGTGCCCCCCGCTGCTCTCCCCCAGCGGTTCACAGCTGCATTTCTGCTGCTGAGAGACACACACTTATTTCTGCGTTCCGGGAAGTGAGTTGGCTGGTTGAGTTTGCAGGGGGCTGTTGTGACTGCCGTTGTCATGGGAAAGGCACGTGGTGTTTATCGGGCTCTGCCCTGGACCAGGCACAGGGCTAGTGCTCTTCAAGAGGGTTTTAAAGTGCTCCCACCTTCCACGCTGGGCTCTGTGGCTATCTCTCTTGGGCGGGTGAGGAAGCAGGAGCTCAGAGAGGTTAATTAAGCAACTTGTCCAAGGCCACACAAATGCCGGTTGGAACAGCTAGAATGAGAGCCATATGACCAGGACTTAGCACCAGGCATTCTTTTGGGAGGTGGTCCTGGGAAGCGCAGCGAGGGGTGGGAGCGGGAGACGAGCAAGGGAGGAAACCCACAAAGGGCGATGATGAGCAGGCTCCCCCGTGGCAGGCACATGGAAGAGCCTCAGAACTGCCCCCCGAGGGAAGCTGGGTTACTTATCCACACACTTCATGCCTCGTGGGTGGAGGTTGCCCGGGGGACATTAAATCCCCACATTTCCAGGGGCCCCTGTTTTCAGGTTGAGCTAGCTCCCCTCGCACCAGAGAAAGCCTCAGGCTGGAAACTGTCCCCAGCAACTACAGGTGAACACAGGGGCCTGGGTGATCCAGGCTGGGCACCTACAGTGGGTGGCACGTCAGGTCTGTCTGGCTAAAGCCTTGGCTCTTCATTCCATGGATAGTATCTCCTCGCTCATTGCTCCTCCAAGCAACATCCCAGCTGCCCTGTTCCAAATGCAGATTCCAGGGCCCCGACCTACCCCTGGGAATGTCCTGGGTGGGTCCAAGATCTGCATTTGGAACAAGTACCCCTGGGAGTTTTGATGTGCACTGTAGATGGAGAACTCTAGTGTCCCGGGGCCTGCCAGGATGCCCATGTGTATCTGGGCTGTGTGTGTCTGGGCCTTCCACATGGTCCAGCCAGTGCCCTGCACACAGTAGGGCTCTGAACTTGGGGCCTCAAGACTTTGCCTGCCTCAAAAATGCCAACAGGGGGAGAAAACTGAGGCATCCAGTGAGCACCAGGCTCCCAGGGTCCATGAAACAGACTGGCCACCAGGCTGTTGGGGGCACCCCCAGTTCCATCTTGTGGGACTTTCTGGTGACAAGTCACCAGGCTCCACAGACCCAGGTGGGACAGACTGACTGACCATGTTACTTGATCTGGTGAATGTGCCGTACAAGAAGCTGAGAGCTGGAGAGGGGTGACAAGAGGGCCCTGAGGTATAATGGCAGTGCCCCAATAACTGGAGGGGAGCAGAGGACATCCCCAAGGACTGCGACCTCCTCCCTCCCTGCCTGCCTGCCTGCCTCTGCGCACGTGCAGATGGTGGAGGGGATCCCGTGAACGCCGTGACTTAGCAGGTGCCCTCGCCCTCACAGGGGTGGGGGAGGGTGAATGGCAGTTCACTGGAGGTGAAGAACCAGTGAGTGGGGCTGTCTGTTTTCTCTGCCCCTGTGGGAGGCCATGGGCTGTGTGACGTCATGGAACAAACAGTGGTTGGAGCCACCTGGGATTTGTGGTGAGATCCTGAGGGCGCTCTTTACCCTCTTGGAGCCTCAGTTTCCCACCTGTAACACGAGGATGCCAGTCCCTGCTTCGTGGGGTCGCTGTGAGGACTAGTGGGCTCGGGACTCATGCTAGTGGCCCTGGGGCTCTGCCCTCAGCAGTTCTCCCAGGACCTGGTGCCACAGGTTCGGATCCTGAGCTGACAGGCCTTACAGTGCTGTCCTGAGCTCCCATCACCCACCCCTGGCAGTGTGCACAGTGCCTTCCCTCTGGTTCCTTCCGTCCAGCTCACATTTCATTAACTCCTGCAGGAGCAGGAGCGTGATGTAGGGGTTGGGAGAAGGATGCTGAGGCAAGCTGCCTCTATTCAAATATGACAGCAGCCCTCCCTACTTCTGTGGCATGGGCAAGCGATGTAGCTTATTTGAACCTCAGTTTGTCCATCTGTAAAATGGGGAGGAATAGTCATGAAGTACTTGGGACAGAACCTGGAATGATGTGAGTACTGGATCCACATTAGGGACCAGTAGGCCTCCCATGTCTGTCCAGGTAGCAACTGTGATGTCCAGACCCCCAGTCAGAAGATCACATGGTGGCCTCATGCCCACCGCCACCTGCCAGGCCTGGGCTCTGACCAGGCTGGGGCCCTCACCCCCACACAACCTCGTTAGGGATGGAGCTGGCTCCCCTGAGGGACTAACATGCCAGTGGGGGCCTGAGCCGCCAGCCTCAGAGTGCAGGAAACATGGGGTAGCTTGATGCAAGGCTGGACTTCTCAGAGGAAGCTTCTCCAGGGCTCCACCCTCAGCCTTTCACTGTGCACCCTCGCCCCTCAGCATTCCCAGAGCCCCCCCCCCCCCCCCCCCCCCCCCCCCCCCCCCACTGCAGGCTGCCCTAAGAGCATTCCAGACTGGGTGGGCCCCACGGGGGTTGTTGGAGAAGGAAGTAGATTTCGCTGTTTCGGCTCACCTTAGCCACACTGCCGCCAGCCGGCCTGTTCTCCCACCCCAGGGCTTTCTCCCCTGGCCTTTTCTCTGCGTGGAACACAATCCCGCACGTTCCTTCAGTTGTCAGCCCACGTGCCGTTGCTCTAGGCCTTTCTGACCCCGCAGGAAAGATGCAATGCCCCCTCCCCCCAGACCACAGGCCTTCTGGAAGCAGGAGCCAGGTCAGCCATGTCCACTTAGCATTGCTGGTGCCCGTCTCAGAGCCTGGCACATGGCGAGTCGGTTCACTGAATGAATGAATGAATGAATGAATGAATAAAACCAGAAACCAGGTTGGACAAGATTAGGGTACAGTAGCCAGTGCTCACTGAAGAGCTGGGATTTTCTTGGTGAGGGGGAAAGGGGAGTCCAAGAATGGAGAGCTCAGTGTGGGCTGGAGTGGTCAGTGGCTCCCTGGAGAAGGGAGGAAGGTGCCTGCAGAGGCTGAGGTGGAGCAGATGTTGGAAAGAGAGAGGCTGGGAACCTCACTCATAAGGAGAGAGGGGCTTTCAGGCTGCAGAGACCCAGCATCACTAACTGCCTGCCTAGTGCGAGGAGAGAAGATAAGGCCTTGTCTCCCAGACCCTGCCTAGTCTGCACACTAGACCCTGTCCTGCTCTAGCATCTGCACATTTAACAGGGCCCTGTAGCCCAGAGGAGCTCAGCAGCTGTTTATTGACTGGATGGATGGGTGGGTGGACATGTGTATGTTACCCGTTAAATAAATGGGTGAGTGGGTAAATAAATGGGTTAGTGAGATAAATTGATGAATGGAGTGTTGAGAAGATATTTAGATAGATGGATGAATATATGGATAGATGGGTGGATGGATGTTACACATTAAATAGATGGGTGGGTGGGTGGGTAGATAAATTGATGAATGGATGGTTCAGTAAACATTTAGATGGATGGATGGATGAAGGGACGCATGGATAAGAGTGGGTGGATAATTGAATAAATTGGTTAGTGGGTTGCTGGATGATGGATGAATAAAATTTAATGGAGGGAAATATGGCAGAAATGAGAACATATTTTGATTCCAACAGCCCCTACTCTCAGAGAAGTTAGGAAGAATCAGAAAAAGTCAAGTATTTTGCATCAATTTGTATAAGAAAATTAGGATTGACCTATGTGTTAAGGCGACCTCATGATCCAAGGGAATATACTAGAAGCCCAGGAGCTAGAAATTAGATGAGAAATTAGATGAAAGGGTGCGGCAGGCCGTGGGCACCCCTGGCTGAAGGCTTCCCCCTCCACCCCTTACCCGGGGTTCACTAGGCCATGGCACTGTGGGCGTGAGAGCAGCAGGCTGTGGTGGAGGAGTCTGAGCCCCTCAGGCCCACAGAGCATCCTCAAGCCTAGGGGTCATCCAGGGGCCACAGGGATGTCTGTCCCATAATGTCTGCCTGTGTACCCCCACTCGCAGCCTGGGATCCAGAACTTAGGAGAGCTTAAGAAGTGATGGATCATCAGGACTAAGACTTGGGAGGAGTTGTGTGTATGTGGGTGTGTGTGTGTACTCACACATGTGCACACACATGAGCCAGCAGACACCCCTGGGCTAATATGTATCTCCCTCTGACTCATGGGCACTTTCTTGGGAGAGATTCCTAGGGTGTCAAGCTGACACACATTCATTCTTTTGTCTGCTCACACTTGGAGATGGATAAAGAGAAACAGGCATGCCCATGTTCCCGGATACACACTCACACGTGAACACACCCTCCAAGACAAACACACTCACACAGCACAGAGAACAGACCCACAGATGCAACCCAGAGCATTTGTAGGGCAGCCCACTGCCACACAGACAAGCAGACACGGATTAACAGGCCCACAGCGACCACGCACAGCACGAGGCTGCCACTCAGGTGGGTCTCTGGGAGAGGCTGGGTACGCAGGCTCTGATGCTGAGAGAAGGCACAGAATGAAGATAAATGAGGCCCTTCCAGGAACCTCCGAGTCAGCACAGCAGCCCATCCATCTTCATTGCCTCAGCGGTGTCTGCAAAGGTTCTAGAGTTTTCCTGGGCCCAGGGGATGCATGGTGAGAGATTAATCACTCCTTCAGCAACTGCCAGGTCTGCTCCACTGGCAGGTCTGTCCTCAGTCAGAAGGGCCTCAGGGAGACCCTCGATCGACAAATGTGGACCCTGCAGCAGAGAGGGGAAGGGGCCCAGTATATCCCTGGGCCCAGCTCCTGTGGTGTCCCCTGAGCCGGGCTGGTGCTTGGGGACTTTCTGACGACTCGTGCTTCAGCAGGAGTCGCCTTTGTGCTCTTGTTCATGGTCTCCAAGGCTGCTTTTCCTCTCTCGGGTCTAGGGGTGGGGAAACCTTCAGGAAGGGAACCGAGCAAATGGGGGTGTCTGCCTGTCCCGACAAGGGAGGAGGAGAGGCCCTGGGGCCCCCGGCAGGTGCTGGGGTGCCAGGCAGGACAGGCGTGTGTGTGGGACATGGGTTTTCAGTGGGCTACAAGGGGAGGTTGGCTGCCTCTCAGCTCATCCCCACCTCATGATCCTTCCTGTTTCCCTCTGCCTCCCTCCCTCCAGATCAACTTTGTATTTCTGTTCAACATCGTCAGGATCCTCATGACAAAGTTACGAGCGTCCACCACCTCAGAGACCATCCAGTACAGGTAGGTGATGGTGTTACCGCGCCAGGTTTGTTTTTGCCCGCCACTTGGAAAGCCAAACACCAAGACTATGAGATTGCAGCAGAGAGAGGGTTTAATCACAAGGCAGCCATGTGAGGCAGCAAGAGCAAGAGTCTCAAATACACTTCCCCGAAAACAGGGACTCAGGGATATTTATGGGACACGGGGCAAGGTGGTCTGCAATGTGGAGAAAGGTGATTGGAGGTGAGGAGAGGTGAGGTAATTGATGATCTATGCAAGCGTAGTCAGACTTCATGCCTCTTCATAGGATCCATGTTCACAAAATGGCAGCGTAAACATGATCTGAGGGTGGAGTTTTTAGCCTCTTGACGTAAAAAGGTTGCTTATGGGACATCTGCGTGGGCCCAGTTGATGGGTTGGTGGTCTCAACTGGCCTGGAGTGGACAAGGAGTTCCAGTTCCTGATGAATAGCTCAATCACCCATCACCATGGTGACCCAGGCTCCAGGGAGATGTTATCTATAGGAGCCTAGTGGGAGGCAGATACCATATTGCCTCAACAGCACAGTTAACAATGGGTGGGTTAACCAGCTAAAAGCTATAATTAGTAATTGCAAAAAGGAAAAAAATCCCTTTAGTTCCCAGCTACTTAATCATCCATGGCGAACTGTTTGGGGGTTTCAGTGGGTGCCTTGACCCCCAGCGGGGGAGAAAGAAGGAGGCCATCTGGGCCTTTCTCCTGCCTCCAGGGAGCTCGCTCAGGCTCCCAGAAGACGCAACCTGAGTGAGGCCCGGCCTGCAGCCCGGGCTCAGGCGGTCTTGTCTCACCCGCAGGAAGGCGGTGAAGGCCACGCTGGTTCTCCTGCCCCTTCTGGGCATCACCTACATGCTCTTCTTCGTCAACCCCGGGGAAGACGACCTGTCGCAGATCGTGTTCATCTATTTCAACTCCTTCCTGCAGTCTTTCCAGGTGGGGGCAGGACCACATGGGGGCTGCAGTGAGCTTTCCTGACCTGGAATGTTCCTGTGCCCATGCCCTCACAAGGATGGGCACATGGGACTGGCCCACACATGGTTCACTTATGTACACACTAAATATAAGCAGATGCACACATTGAACCTGAGCCTGGTCCCTGACACCCCCAACCCAGGGCCTGGGTGGGTCCAACCCCAGACTGGGTCTGGGCCATCCTAGCCTGCACCTGCTGCTGGCCCAGCACCTGTTCTGAGGGTTCCTGGCAGCCTATCACTCGCAGTGGACCCCCGTACACCTGCACCATGAGGGGTGAGGCCCCAGCCAGTTCTGACCCCCTGGGGTCCTGGGTCAGAGTGTTCCCCAGCGACCCTGTTCCCCACTCCACCCCTCCAGGCAGCATGATTCCCCGGGCAGGCCACTGACCGCTCCCTCCTTCCTTTCCAGGGTTTCTTTGTGTCTGTCTTCTACTGCTTCTTCAATGGAGAGGTATGAGACCGGGCCCTGGGGAGGCCTGGGCTTGGAGGTCCTCAGACCCCACTCTGGGGCTGTTCTAGCTGAGCTGCCCAGCCTTTCGGGAGTGCAGGTGTCCCTCAGCTCTGCCCTGGAGGAGGGAGGAGAAGGCCGGAGAAACCAGCCAGGGGGGACAGGAATCCTGCCTGAGGGACTCAATTGAGAAGGCCCATGTGCAGGGCAGAAACACCATGCCAGCACTCCCCAAATGTGCTCAGAGCGCTGGGTGGGCAGGGCGTCACAGAAGAGAGAAGCCAGAACAGAGGTGGTGAAAGGAGAAAGCTCCCAGGAGCAAGTCAGGTGTGAGCCATGCATCTGGGCCTCTGTGGACTCAGGGAGTGGAAGAGATACCAGCACATTCCCCCCCCCCAACGCAGAGAAGACCACACACCTCTGGGTGGGCTCTGGGTGAGGCACCAAGTGAGGCATCCGGTGAAGCCTGGCTACCTCACAAGGCCCAGAGTCCTAGCGGCCACCTAGGGAGAGATGCTCACTCAGGCCTGCGGTGGGAGAAGGCACACAGTGGGTTCTGGAGCAAAGAGCAGACACAGCCCCCAGGGCCTGGCAGCTTCCAAACCCTCAAGAGGAATGCCAAGCCTGGCTCAGGTGACTTCCCCTGCCCATGCACAGGGCAATGGCGGGGTGGCTCTGCAGGCCTGGGGCTCTGTCAGTCAAACAGGCCCCGATGGGAAGGTCCAGCCGAGGAGGCCGGCCTGGGCTGGAGGGCGGGGAGGGAAGGAGCCTCTTCTCCTTCCAAGCAAACAGCAGGCGCTCACGGAGCATTGATTCTGTTCAACCAGATGCTAGGCTAGCACGTGGGGGACACCATCCATTCTACAGGAAAATTCCCCAATTACGATGCGAATGAGAATAAAATGGCACCAGCGACGATCAGGCTTTGAAATGACTAGAACGATTAGCTTTCTAGCTGGCGGTGCATGTTATGGCAAGTGAGGCGGGTCTCTCAGGAGGTGGAGGTCAGGGCTGCGGAGGAGGCAAGAGGAAGGTCACTCAGGAGGGAGAAGGATGCCAGCCAAGAGTGGAGCACAGATTTCAGCAGGTGGCCGGGAGAGCGCAAGGGGCGGATTCACGAAGCCGGGTCCTCTCGTCCCACTGTGGTAGATGTGAGGTGGCACAGCAAGCCGGGAAGGGAAGGCAATGAGTCCAAAGGGAGTCTGCATGCGGTGGAGCTTCTCCAGGAGAGGGAGGCAGGAGGGGCACTGGAGAGACGCTGCAGAGGAGGCGAGAGCTTCAGGGCCGTCAGCAGCAGCGGAGGGACCCCGCTTTTGGAACCAGCCAGTCCCTGGGTGTGGGTGGCTGTCAAGAGGTCCACCCCAGCCTCCCTTAATGGCCCTGCAAAGGTCAGGGAGCTAGAGGGAGCTGTCCCGGACTCCAGGATTGGCCCCCACAAGCCCAGCTGAGCCTCTACCTCCCCCGCAGGTGCGCTCCGCCGTGAGGAAGAGGTGGCACCGCTGGCAGGACCATCACTCCCTCCGAGTCCCCGTGGCCCGGGCCATGTCCATCCCCACGTCACCCACGCGGGTCAGCTTCCACAGCATCAAGCAGACGGCCGCTGTATGACCCCTCGGTCACCCAGCTCACCCATCACTCCATCGGGACACCTTCCCCATCCTCCTCCGCTGCCTTGCTCTGGGTTCTCCCTGCCATGCAGGCCCTGGTTGGGGCAGGAAGGAGGGGAGAGACCAGCTCCCCAGCCTGGTAGGAGAGAGGCTGTGCAGCAGCACAGTGGCTCCAGGGAACCAGGGCCAGCCAGGGGCCCAAGAGTCAGTGCAAGAGGAGCAGAGCGGAGAAGTCACAGGAACCCCGAGAAGAGCAGGTCATGTCTTCAGGCATTTGTGCATACCAGCCTCTTGCACTAGAGCCTCACTATAGTCCCATTCACAGATGAGGAAACTGAGGCCCAGAGCCAGGAAGGGCCGGCCCAAGTCACACAGCTAGTTCGTGGCGGACCTGGGGCTCCTCTGCTCCACTCATGGTGCAGCCCTCTGGCAGCAGCAGTGTAATAGTTGGCCCTGCTCCCTGCCCCCTGCCCCTGTGCTCAGTGGTGCCCTCTGCAGTTGGGCGTAGGTACAGCAGCTGGAGTAAAGCATTAATTCAGCTGGGTTCATCCCAGGGACTCTCACCTAGAGAAGCCTCACTTACACCCCACCCCGACCCCACCATCCCTGCACCCCCTCCCAGCTGTCCTGCTGCCCCTGGGGCCCCATGAAGGATGCTGTCTCTCTTCCTGGGAGACGGCTTCTCAGCTGAGGCCGCAGATTCAGGGGCTTGGGGAGGGGCAGGTGAGGAGGAAGACATGGCCAGGGCAGCCATACACCCTTAGGCCAACCGGATACGTGGGACAGGACGGAACAGGGAGAAGAAGCCTGGGGGACAGGTTGGGAGAAGGAGTGGGGTAGAAACAGCAGAAACCGAAGTATGTCTTTGGTGATTGGAACTAACCCCCCAGCCCCCACCGAGGCAGCTTCAGCCTCCCCTTCAGATCCAACATCTCTGCTCTCTGTGAAATAAACCATGCCTCTGTGCAAACGGCCTCCTCTCAGGTCAAGTGGACCAGGCATCCGCAGGGGTGCTATGGGGCAAGAATGGTGGGCTGGGTCCATCCTCGTTTGCAGAGACTCTGGCCCTGGCCAGGGGCTGGTTCTCCCTCTCTACCCTGTGTGCCTGCAGGTCTGTCCCTAATTGTCTGCCCCAGCCACTCTCTGGCCCTCCTCCCCGACAAAGGCAGTTTAATTCAGCATGGAGGAGAAGTGCAGCTCACCCAGCACTCCACGAAGGCCAAGGTTCTGGAAACTGGAGGGCAGCGTAGACAAGACCCAGCCGTGAGCAACAACCACAGGGCGGTTTCCATCTTGTCTTCCATCCCTGCTTCTCTCCAGGAAAGGGTGGGTGTCGAGCGGCAGGAGGAGCCATCCAGCCAGGGTTCGAAAACGGTTTACTCTAGCGACGCCACCACCCGCCCCCCCAATTTTTTAAATTCTGTATCCCATCTTGCATGTTTTTAAGTTGACATCTAATATTTTTTACATAAGTTCTAAAACTTGCAAGAGATGTAATTTCTGGCATTTGGTAAATATCTACATTTTAAAATAAAACTGTCACAACCATTTACATCATACAGAATTCAAACACAACAGTGGTTTAATACCTACCTTCATCTACCTTAAAAAAACGCAACCTGCTTTTTTTTTAACAGTTGGAAATTTTATGTTGTTCCTTTTCTCTTTGAACTTGTATCTTCATCCCATTTCCCCTATAGAATTTTCTATGAATGCAGTATTTTTTATGGCTGAAAGTGTGTTATTGCTCACCTTATCATGCTTCTCTGCCACAAAATATATTTAGAAATTGAAATACTTAATTTCCTGATTCCTAAAGGTTCTAAGGGTTTTTAAAAAAATCTTCTGTATTGAGTAATTACAACTATTTTTTGTTATAAAATATAGTACACAATTGATTAAAACAACAGAGATACCAAAAATTTTTACAAGTAATTGTTAAACCTGAAAAGGAAAATTTATTGAAAACACATCTTAATGAAATGCATAGGAATTTAATTGTTCATGAATCTATAGGTGAATATTTATTACTAGAATGAATCAGGACTCAGCATCATTTCTTTTATTTTTTAAATTTTTTATAGCTTTGCATGCTGAGAAGCCTGTTCCCGTAAAGAAGCAGATGTCACATAAATAAGTAGATGTCACGCACTTCTCTGAACTTCTTCTGAACCAAAAATTGCATAGTCATCTATCATCAAAAATGATCTGTCAGCTGGCCACTTTAGTCCTCTTTAAATTTGGCTTGAAAAAAAGGAATTGAGAATTATCAGACTTGCCAAGGGTGTTGCTGCCCCGGGCATGTGCTCATTTGGTTTCTCACCACACAGGCACCTGTGTGCCAGCTGGCACTCGGGCTGGGCCAGGTTGGGGTTAAGTGCAGGACAGTGCACCAGAATGAGATGTGGCCAGGCAAGCTCTGCTCCATTTCTGTCCAGCAGGAGGGTGGTGGGGCGCCCTAATTCTGTGCTTTCCCAAGAGACAGAACTCAGTGTGTCTTGGAAAGTCTTCCTGTGCACACAGAGGTGGTGTAACGGCCGCTTCCATTAGCATCATCAGGGGGCTCTTGTAGAACAAGGACCTGCAAATGGCTCAGCCCCAAGAGCCCAACTGGAGCGCTCTGCCAGCCAGGAGAGACTAAGCGCTGGTCAGAGCAGAACCTGCGCCTCCGCAGAGCCTCAGCGCCAAGTCCCAGCCACTCACCCCTGCTCCTCAGATGCCGCCCCTGGCTCATTACCCCACTGGCCCTGCTCCCTGGAAGGCCTGCCATGGGGAGCATCAAAGTCGCTAACCTTTTTTCAGCAGGCAGTTTGACCTGCTCCCTCTCCAGCTCAGTGGAGGCCCCCCCTTGCTCCCATGCTGATCCTGCATCCCCTCATTACTGGGGCCCTTGGTCAAGGCCCCCGCTGAGCTCTGGCTTTGAAATGCCACCACAGCCGTTAAGCCCTCTCTCTGGGTCCCTGACTTGTTAGTCTCGTTAGGCACCTGTTTCTCGCAGCCAAGCCTGTCCTTGTTAGTGTCTGCTTCAGCACAGGCAGCCCCTCACTGAGCTGGTCTTCCTGGAAAGTGGCCTCATTAGCAGACTCTCCTCTTTAGCTGGCAAGTTCCAGCATCCAAACCCCTCGGGCCCTTAGGCTCTCCTGTTTAACTCTTCCATTCCCACCCCTCAATTGGTAAAGCTGGAGAAGACTTGAGCTCACAGGTTATTCCTCACACCAGCCACTGGCCCACTCCCAGTGAGAGACTACAGACAGAGCCCTGACCCAGCAAAGCTCCTAGCCCCAGGTCCATCACCAAAGTGGGGCCATAAAGTGCCTGCTGTGGTAGGAGGCAGTAAGTGACAAGGAAGCCAGAAGGAATGCTGGAGCATCTGTAGGATGGGAAGTGAAAGATACAGGTGACATTTCCTTCCCAGAGGCCCCGGCTGGGAGGGTCGGTGGTGGAGGTGTCACCCGAGGGCTGAAGCCTCAAGACCCCCGGTTTCCTGTGGAGAAGGTTAATGAGCAGCAGAAAATAAAATGGACTTAAAGTGCAGTTAAGACGCTCGCAGAAACTGACCACCAACATGTGGACTTGGGCAAAGGTGGAGACACAAATGGAGGCTCACAGACATGGAGGCCAACACTCCTGGGGCCACAGAGGGAGCCCCGCCCACATGGACAGGAACTCCTAGGGACACCCAGAGGTGGACCCACAGGCCAGATGCACAGATGTCCACCAGTTATTCATTCCCCATTTACTGAGCACCACTGTGCACCAGGTACGGAAATAACACTACGAAAAAGACAAAGTTCTTGTTTCAAGAAACTCAAAATCTAGTTGGGAAGCAACAGCTCCCCAAACGGTACAAAGAAAAAGCAGGAAAAAAGGATTTGTGCTCTGCATCTATACCTGGATGGGTCTCTCGGCAACCATTTGTCTGTCCTGGTGGACAGAAGGGAGTCGGGCCTGAGGACTGAAAACAAGTCAGCTTCTGCAGTCTGCACCTGCTTTTTGCGGATCTCTGAGCCCCCAGCCAGACAAGGTTTATGGGACACAAGAACCTCAGGCGCCCTCCCCCATTTCTTTCCTACTTCCCACCGTCCAGGCCCGGGACCTCCTGGACTGCTGCAGAGACAGACAGAACTGGGGAAGGAGCCCGTTGTTTGCTGCTTGTGCTCCCTGAGCATCTTCAGATGAGGGCAAAGGGGGCGCATGTGCAGCAGGGCAGCTGGATGAGAAGGGGGCTGTCACAGGAGAGACAGGGGAAGGGCAGACTCAGAACAAGTCGTCCCCTTCACAGGTCTGAGGCTGCCTGTGGGGCATGTCTGGGGTCTGCGTGGCCCAAGGGGAGTCCTTTCCTAGAGTCCCATTTCGGCCAGAGTCAGGGAGAGCTTTGTGGAAAAGAGCGGCCCCTCCAGCCCGGGAGCCTGGCTAGGGGCCCACTGCTCTGAGGACACACCTTGGTGTCTCCTTGGAACCAGCTGGGTGGCTCGTGGACAGCAGACTTTGGGAACCTGTATTTCCAGACTGGGCAGGACCCAGGAGTCTGCACTTTTAACAAGCCCCCAGGGGATTCTGTTGCTGTCTGGCGTGGAAGCCGCTGAACAAGGAAATGTCTCTTGACCCTTCTTCCACCACACACACACACTTGGGTATTGTAGAAAGTGAAAGTGAGTGGCCTGCCTTTCTGGAAACCTCCAAAGGAAGGCAGCTATAGCAGGAGGGAAAGAGGCAGGCTTAAAACATGTAAATTTATTCATCAATATGCTCTCAGTATGGTCTCCAGGTTCTGCCTGTAAGGTGCCACTAATTCTCCTGAGCGGACCATCCCACTTAGAGATGTTCATTGGCAGGAGGACCAGGCGGAGGATGGACTGAGACCACCCCCCCGTTCACTGAGTTTCTTCCAGGTTTTCTTGTTAGGGATTTCTTTGCTTAGAGCTTAAGGCCCTCCTGAAGGGCTGTAGCATGCCTCCCCCACCACAGAACCATCACAGTGGCCTCCCTCTGGCAAATCGTGTCCATCCTACAGGACCTGGTTCAAAGAGCCTCTTCCAGGAAGCCTTCCGACCAGCATCTGTTGGACTTGTCCCCTCTGGGAGCTCCTCTAGCAGTACTCACCTGGCTCCACTGCAAGGCTGGGAAGGGCTAGAGGCGCATGCTGTTACTTATGCCCACAGGCAGAGCTCTGCACCCAGTAGGAGCTCTAGAAACATTCACTGAATAAACTGCTCTTTCCTATTGGTTCCAGCCAGAGCTGGTTACCTCCCAGGCTGGAGTCCAGTGCTAGCAAGACTGACCAAAGAAGGCACAAAGAATCCCAGAGATGTATTAGCTTTGCACAGAGGGAAGATCCATTCTCTGGCTCCACACTCCACCCCTAACAGAGCCCAGTGGCCAGACCCAGATGGGGGGCACCCCCTCCTCTCTACTTCACACATAGACAGAAACTTGGAGGAGGAGAGCCTCCCCACCATCCTTCCAAGACTTTCCTGCAGGTATCCACAGATTAACCTCACCCCGAGGGGCCTCCCGCCTCAAGGGGTCCTGACTTCCTCCTGGGCGGAGGGTGAGCCCGTCCTTCCCTGGGTGAGGTGACCAGACCCGGCCTGCCCAGCTCATCTAGGTTTCTGCCTGTTGTCCTGGTGGGATTAAAAGCACCCCTCTCACTCTCACAGGCATCTGGTTTGGATAATAAGCCATATGATCACCCTACTTAAACCCCACATTGTCTGAGTACACAGCAGGGGCCACAAATGCTGCTGAATAAATGAATGACGAAAGCCAGATCTGCAAACTTCCCAATGTTGGCTACTGCACTTCGGGAAGAGGACTCGAGTAGAGGGGTCTTCTAAGCCTGAAGTCAGGTCTCAATGACCGCTGGTTGGACCAATGAGTGAGCAGGGAGGGGTAAGGAGGAGCTGATCCCAGCTCCAGAAGAAAGCCGTCCCTCAGCCTCTGCTGTGAGTACAATAATTAACCGTGCTCCTTAATTAGCTCTGGAGGGTGCCCTCTGGCTTCCTGAGGCCCAGCCTCGCAGATCCCCCTGGAGGGCCCTCTGCCCGAGAAGACAGAGAAAGTCAGAGACATGTCATTTCTTCTTGCCTCCCCCAGTTCTGTCTCTGTGTTCTCTGGAGAAGGCTGGTGGCGAGCCCATGGCCAACCTGCAGTTCCCTCCTTTCCTTCTTATTCTTCCAGCTCGGCCCAAACACCTCGTCCTTTCCGGGATTTCCAGAGCGTGCAGTGTGGAGTCTGGGCCTCTGGCTCCTAAGCAACGGAAGGCCCCCAGCCCGTAGTCTCCTAATCCGTGTCAGTCCTTGACTTGAGGCTGACTCGGGGCTTTCCGCTGCCCCTCAGCACTGTGGACTGGAATGAATGAATGAGGAGAAAGTGGTCCTCCCTTGGAAACGTGATGGATTCTTTTCCCCAGACAAATATAAATGTATAAAATGTAAAAACGCAGTATATTAAATAGTGCCTGAAATTTCTACAGAAACCCTCAAAGGAACCACGACCCAAGTTTAAAAGTCTCTGACCTCAGGATAAAATTTAAATGCTCTAATTTAGCTAATGAGAA